ACTTCCTAGACCTGCAAGGAAGCATGGTATTTAAAAACCTGGAAATTGGGATCCCTGGGTGGCGCAGAGGTTTGGCGCCTGCCTTTGGCCCAGGGCGCGATCCTGGAGACCCAGGATCGAATCCCACATCGGGCTCCCGGTGCATGGAGCCTGCTTCTCCCTCTGCCTGTGTCCCTGTCTCTCTCTCTCTCTCTCTCTCTCTCTCTCTGTGACTATCATAAATAAATAAAAAAATAAAAAAAATTTTTTAAAAAAACCTGGAAATTATTTGTCAATGGGCAATACATAAATGTGATTTTTGCTTTTTAAATTTAATGGCTAATATTAAGTTTTTGCAACTATTTTAGCTTTTAAAATTATAATTTAAATATTGTATACACATAACTAGAAAATTATATGCTTAAAAAGCAAGTCTCCTTTTCTAGGGGCAACCACATTTAGGTTTAATTATAGGGCTTCAGGTGGCCAAAACCATATTTCTAATACTGTTTATTTTTCCACTTTTTGGGTGGGCAGGTTATCAATTCTGAAAAATTTTTACTGACTTTTTTTGCTCAGCAAAATGCAGACTGAAGTCACTTAGGCAAAGCCACTTCCTTATCTCATAATACGATTTTATGACTATTCACAGTTTAGACCTTAGCAACTTTTAACTTCACACCTCATATTTAAATCTTTATTATTTTTTCATCCACTATAGGAAAGCTCTCTTAGCACCCTATTTTTAAGTAGGATGTCAGTTACACTTCCATCTTTTTTTCATCTCTTCTCCTAATTTTTAATTCTTTCATCATGCGGTCTTTCCCTATTCTTTTATGTTATCATGGTTGGAAACATTTTGTTGTTTCTATAATCAGAGTAGATGAAATATCTCTTAAGTATTCTATAATTAGTTTACTAGCTGATTCTACAAGTTAAACACAAATGTTTTCATTATTATGACAGTGCTCATGTTGTTCTTCAGGAGTTAGGTGGTGGACTCTGATATATTCCTTTTTTCTGAGTCCAACTTCATCTCATCTGTGCCATTCAAAAGGGAAAGTCATTAGAGTTAAGTTCAAATGAACTTTCCTTTTATTTCTGTACAGTAATTGACTCCCCCATACCCACTTCTTAGGGAATCTCATACAGTATTTCGGTAAATCAATTCCCCTTACTTCTGAGACTCCCTCTTGCACATGTCTGTCCATTCTGGACAAATTGCTCTTAAGGTCTCCTGCACAGTTGTCATTCTGGGACAAAAAAGTTACTGTTTTCCTAGTCTAATGTCTTCCCTGTCTCTGTTCATTGTTAATTTTGCTACACTATGTCCTCAGATAATTTCTTAAGAAAAAGTACATTGTAGGCAAACTTTGCAAAGTTTACATGTGAAACAATATCCCTAGTATAGTTTCCTCTAATTTTTCTCCCTAAAGATAAAGGCACTAATTATTGTCTTCCAGCATTCAGTATTGATAAGCCCAATGCCAAATTCTTCTCTCTTTGCATGTGACCAACTCACACTCTTTCTCTGAAAAGTTCCAATTTCTTCTCTTTATTATTAAACTTGTAAAATTTCACAGTAATTTTCTAAGAGTAAATCTTTTTTCATTCATTAGGCCATGCCCTTCTAACATGAACACAGGTTTCCCCCATTATATAAGAGTAGAGCATTCCTATGCAAACTTTCGGAAGCTAAAATGGCACAAAGCAAAGCTGTTGCCATTACTTTATATGGGAAATTTCTTGAGCATTTCCAGACCTTAAAAAAAACCTCTTTCAGGCTTTTCTGTTATCTTAGGACACATCTTGCTAACAGACACATAAAATATATCCAGATAAAGCAAGGATGCTCACAGTCCTAGTTCATAGCTACCACAGCTTGACACTGAGATACTAAATATGGCTCCCAGGGAAGGAGCTTGGTGATGCCACTCTCACTGCTCAGGGGAACAGAAACTTTTGAAGGGCAGAGGATACCTGTATTTATGTTTTGTAAATGGGGAAATATCCTGTATAATTTCTTTGATAATTTACTCTTTTTTTCTCTCCTTTCATTGTAGAAACTTGCTCTTCAGATGTAGGAGCTTCTAAGTTGATCCTACATGCATCTATATATTTTTCTATATTCATGTCTTTTTGTTTTAATTTTTGGGATAGCTCTTTATCTTCCAAACTATTTTTATAAATGCAATCATATATTTTTAATTTCTTTTTTTTAAGATTTATTTATTTGCTCATGAGAGACAGACACAGAGAGAGAGAGGCAGAGACATAGGCAGAGGGAGAAGCAGGCTCCTTACAGGGAGCCCGATGCGGGTCTTGATCCCAGATCCTGGAATCACGCCCTGAGCCGAAGGCAAATGCTCACCTGCTGAGCCACCCAGGTGTCCCTATAGTCTTAATTTCTAATAGCTCTTTTGTGTTTTCATTTTACATTTCATAGTCTGCAATATACAAACTCTCTAGAGATACCAAGGTCCTTCTGCTCTCTGTATTCTCTGTCTTATGGGGTCTGTTTTCTCTGCACTTTTACTTGAATCAGTCTCATTGTAAGCTTTTGGAAAACACATGCTAATCCTTGGTTATCCACTCATTTTTTAAAGATCTGAACAATAAAATCTGCTTGGAAACTGTGTGTTTGGGTAGGGCTTGCCATATTTATTCCATAGTGAGTAAAGCAGGAGACTGCCAATGTCAGAATACAGGAGCCTTTGTCGGGATCTCCGATGCCTACATTAGTTGCCCTAATCCTTTTCAAGTATTTAACACAGATTTGTAAATATTTTTTTAAGCTGCCTCTTGGGGTCCTGGATCTAGGGATGAAGATAGGATTGATTGCTCTTCAGGCATGATTTTAGTGCCCTAAATCGCTCCCAATACCCTACAATAACTGTGCTTGTGAGTCTCCTCTCTTCTTCAAAGCAAGCCACTCCCTCTTTTGCAACTGCCTCTTCTGCCTAGACACACTGATGCATCTTACCTTATCCTACATCTTTAATGGCCACTCTATCACCTTCTGCCTTCTAGAAATTAGTTAAGTTTCTTCTCTACTAATGACTCTCATACCATTCTCTTTGCTTTGGGCTTTTCCACCCACATTTTACTCCTTTACTATCACTTTAATTAGCTGTTAGGAAAAAAGGAGATAAACACATGTATTAGCCCATCATAATAAGCCAGAGTTACTTTTCATATTTTACCTAATTTTGCTATTTGTATTTTAACAAAAGAATTTATTATTCATGCCTAAGGGGAAATGTGTTTTGTGATACTTTTCAGGGGATGGGATATCTTCCTATTTATTTCAATTCTCTTGAAATTTTCAAGTTCTTATCAACTATGAACTTAGAAATATTCATTCATTCATGTAGGACACCATTTAAGATCATATTACTTTCATTTATTGTGCAAAGAATATACTCAATGAGATTCATTCAAAATATATTTGCTTTTGTCTAGTTCAAATCGACACTACTTACCCATTTATTGTTCATATGTTCATAGCAAATTGAGTTGATGTAATCTAAATAGTTTTAGCCCAATGTTTTGGTATTCAATATAGATAATGCCATAAAGTCTTTTTTAATCATTTGCTTAGTTTATCAGGTATGAGGAAATTATAAAGTAATTCATTTACATACAGCATATAAAATTGCCATCATATCTAATTTCTTTCACAAAAGGAGAAAAAACTGTATTCCATTCAGGTTTCATGAAGTGCTGAGAGATCACTAAATCTGTACTATCACTGAACAGTGGTACAAAATGTAACATTATCATCCATCATCTTCCTGACTGAACAGCTTAATATTCTTCCAGTTGCAGATTGTTTTTATAAGGAAGAGAGAGAGAGAGAGAAAGGAGTCAAAATAAGCTCTATGGTACAGCTAGTAGTGTCCTTGATTTGCTTTGGGGATCTGTTCTTTATTTTCCAAATATACAGGAGTAGGGACTAAATAAGAAATCTACGAATTCTAAGGATACGCAGAGAACAGAAGAAACATGGAACAAACAAGACAAAAAAACATTTAAGGAGAAAGAGAACATAAAGGGGAAGAGTGGATACAAATGGATAGGAAAGGATATTCCTTTGTTTAGACTAAGGGTCAACATTTGTAGGTACTCATATTGCCTTTCACAATTTGCATCGGTCACTTTTAATTTTTGCTGTTTAAACTCTCACGAAATGCCTGGGTTTCTGTTTGGCTTAGGCTTTGGCATTTATGAAGTCCCAGGTTTTCCTAAAATCTTGCAGCTGCGGTGATAAGAAAATTACAATTTTTCAAGGAAGTCATTAATTTTTTATCAAGTACTACAGTGACCGATGCTCTGTATCTTTCCCTGTGTGTGCCTATTAGGGTCTTGAGTGCTTGAGGGGTTTTTTTTGAATGACTTTGTTTGTACCTTCAATGGCTGCTGTATCAGGCCCTGCTATCTGCACAAAGCATTTATCCTTCAAAACTCTACCTCTTTCAGGCAGACTGTGATTGAATTTTTATTGCTATATTCTATAAAGACATCTTTCACAGGAGCTACTTATTCTCCAATACTTAAAATCAGCATATAGAGTTCTTTCTGGCTTGTAGAAGTTGTCCAAAGTCTCAAGGCATGGGAGCAGGGGAAGGATAGAAGGGCTGGTGATCAGGTAAACAGGCCCATGGTCAATTTGTTTAATTTTTCTGACTTCTTTACTTAAAACAGTTGCAAAATTGGTAAAATGACAATGATTTTCCTGTTTCTTCCGGACTGTACAAATCATTTCCCATTTTAAAACTCCCACTCTTCGGACTTAGAGCATCAAAAAAGCAGCTACTCATGGTTCAAATTATACTTAAATGCACAGCACCCAATATGAATGATCATTCACTCAGAATATGTGATATCAATCTCATGGATTTGCTTTATTTCAGGATTCCTTTCTTTGCTCTCGCGTATGGTATGCATTTGACTTTGGTATAAGTATGTGTGTTGCAATCATTGGTCATGTTCACCCAACATGTTTGTTCCTGTATTTTCAGCATGTGGCAAATTGATGAAAATCACAGGCCCAATTACAGTCAAGACGTCTGGAACCCGATTTGGTGCCTGGATGACAGATCCTTTAGCGTCTGAAAAGAATAACAGAGTATGTTGCTTCCACAAACACCTTTGCTTAGAATTGTTTTATTTGTGCTTTATGTCTATTGAACTATTTATTTTCTTCAGAAATATTAGTTTCAACTTAAAAAGTGTTACATTATTCGCAAATGTTCTCAGTTTGCTGCTATTAACATATCTATAGCAACCTTATTTTAGTAAAATATTCCATCTTATAATTCACCAGTAAGGTAAGCCCGATTTTTATTAGTTTTAATCTTGTTTTATGCTAATAAAGAGCTAATTATGAGTATGCAAAATTCTCTAGATACTCCTTTTAAAACCTGCTCCTTAGTATGAGGAAAAAAAAAAACACTAAGTAAGTGGAAAACTCAAGAGCAACCAATTCACTAACCAAGCTGAAATATCCCTGGAACCTAGAGATAATTTTAAAGTAAATAGTACTGAAACTTTGGGGGTGCATTTTCATGAGTTAGCAATGCTTGTATTATGTAAATCAATATACTGGAAACTTACCATAGCTCTATTTATGGTCTATTAAAAAACTCAGTTTACATTAAAATTCTCAAGGGTTACATACAAATAAGATTAGTAGCTAAATTAATAAAATGGTAACACTAAAAAGCAGCTGTACCTATAAGCTGATCCAATGAACAAGTGTTTCTATAAGTTTCTATGGTATCCATAAAGGAGAAATAAATGTGTAAAATTAGACCATATATTTTTTAGAGCAAAAGAATAAATTTGCTTAAGGGGATGTTTTTTGCAATAACTGAACAAATGACATGATTTGCACTGATAACTGAGCACAAAGTGATGTGATCTGCACTGATACATGGTTAGTCACTCAACGATATGCAATGGATGGTCAAATAAATAAATAATAGAACAAAAATCATATCAACTTCAGCAGTAAATTCAGTTGTTTGCTTTCCACACAGAAAATGCCACTATGTTTGCCTGTGGTGCTATCACATTGGAGGAGGTTAACAGTAAAAATAATGTAGCTTCCAGATCCTGAGAATGGTGATATTAAATGTGCTGACTCTCACTGATTTCATTTTGGAATTCTCAGAAAAGCACAGAATTTAGTCATTCTTTCTATTTTTTCCCTCTTTTCCTCAGGTCTGGTACATGGACAGTTATACTAACAATAAAATTGTTCGTGAGTACAAATCAATTGCAGACTTTGTCAGTGGGGCTGAATCAAGGACATACAACCTCCCTTTCAAATGGGCAGGAACTAACCATGTTGTCTACAATGGCTCACTCTATTTTAACAAGTATCAGAGTAACATCATCATCAAATACAGCTTTGATATGGGGAGAGTGCTCGCCCAACGAAGCCTCGAGTATGCTGGTTTTCACAACGTGTACCCCTATACATGGGGTGGATTCTCTGACATCGACCTAATGGCTGATGAAATTGGGCTGTGGGCTGTGTATGCAACTAACCAGAATGCTGGCAATATTGTCATCAGCCAACTTAACCAAGATACCTTGGAGGTGATGAAGAGCTGGAGCACTGGCTATCCTAAGAGAAGCGCAGGGGAATCTTTCATGATCTGTGGGACACTGTATGTCACCAATTCCCACTTAACTGGAGCCAAGGTGTATTATTCATATTCCACCAAAACCTCCACATATGAGTACACGGACATTCCCTTTCATAACCAATACTTTCACATATCCATGCTTGACTACAATGCAAGAGATAGAGCTCTTTATGCCTGGAACAATGGTCACCAGGTCCTATTCAATGTCACCCTTTTCCACATCATTAAGACTGAGGATGACACATAAGCAAATGTAACTTGTTTTCACTGATCTAAGCAGTGTCATTTGTGATAAACTCTATAGAATTCCTTCTGTTTTTCCTTTATTCTAACTTTTCATCATTTCTCCAAAGCATTTTTTTATTATAAAGTTGGTCTTTCAAAAATCAGCTAAGCCTGTCTAAATTAACCTGTTGGAAACACATCTTAACTCCTAAATTTACAGGGCCTATCATGTCCTTGTCATGAAAAGCACTAAAAAGAGCTTAAGTGGCTAAAGTTATAGTTTTGCAAAAGATTAATGATCTGCCTTATATTAGAGTCAGAGACTAATGATGGCTTAAATGCATGAATGTCTTTTTTTTTTTAAATTCTGTCATTTTTTACTGTCTTTTGCTCTACATCAGGAAATATTTTGGTAGGAATTAGGGAAAAAAAGCACTTTCCTCCCATTTATTTCTAAAAAAAGATTTAAGGGTTTTATTTATATGGAAAAAATATATTACTCATTTTGCTTTATAGAATTCTCTGATGCGGTGCTGTACAGTCATTTTTAAATCTCTTGCTAACATTTTATTGGCAATATGTATTTCTACCATTGTAACCACCATTGTGCAATTGTATCTCTTCACTTCTGTGAAAGTAAGTAATATTTTTTATAAAATACACTGAAGTTTAATCTCAGTAATTATTATGTGCCAATTTTCAAATGTGGTCAAGAAGGAAATATCTTCTTGGCTTGCCCCTTTACTTAAATTTGTAAACTAGAAGGAAAATCAAACTAAATCCCTTATGTAGAATATTTGTTTTACCCCAAGTTTTTTGGATCACTAACATCTAATGCTAAAACTGAGTTTTGTGGATGAGTTACTCTGTTCACGTCACTGAAAGCAACACATATTGTTGCTTGCAAAGATGCAACTGAGTCAGAAAATTTGGATTTGAGTTGACTTTACTCACTTATTATACAGCCAAATTTTGCTCTTCATAAATAAATATATTAATGTTTTAACTTAAACTTTACATACAACTTGCAATAATGTAATTACTTATGTCAGAACTCTGGAAGTACATGAAGCACATATAGAAACTCTTAAAAAGAAAACTCTGTGAGGTCATCTAGATTTACATTATGAGCTCTAGAGAGTTACTGGCAACATTAGTGCAAAAGAAAATGATGGGAAAATGATGGGAGTTGTCTGTGCAGCTTAAATGTGCAAAACATCAATTCAGAAAAAAAGATGGGAAGGCAATCCCTTGTTTCCCTGATTCATGTGTGCAGAAATAATGTAACCAAAAAAGAAAGCTTTAATAAGATTTTATGTTAATAACTCCAAAACCATAATCAATATTTAACAAATATATCCTTGAGTTTGGATGCACTTTCCATATGTTAAAAATACTTACCTAAGGCAGTTTTGCAGAAACTAGTGTGGGTTGGTTTTACAATTTAAAAAGTATATTCTAGAACAAATAATGTAAAACTTAAATTGTGGTCAATGTTTATTTTCACACACACATGATAACAATTTCCTTTGTAAAGTAAGGATACAATAATTCAGATAAAGCACTGTGTAAAGTAATGCTCACACTTAGGAGTAGTTCATTTCAAATGTCACCAGTCATAATTCTCAAATATCTCACTGTCAAAGTCATAGAATTAAATAATTCAATCTTGAGATTGTTAAAGTTTAACAGAGATTTCATTTGTTTTTTGCCTACAGAAAGTTAGCATGACTTAGTGACCACTCTGGGTCCTTTTGCAATGTTGTCTTCTCTTTTAAAATGCTTATATAAGTTCTCCTCTGCCTTTGAAAGTTAGAAAATTTAGGGGACTCACTTGTCATTGTCCACACACCACAAAAAATAATCAGCCAATACTTTGTATATCAAGAATTTGTATGAAGAAAGAAAGTCAACTTCAAAAATGAATGAATTTTTAAGTAGATGCCTCTGATGGATATCTGGGTCTTCATTACTTGTTTTTTAAAAAAATGATGTAATATAGTATCACATACATTCAAAACCTGGATGATCACAGCTTTTTTGTGAGATGTGCAGCTTGTAAAGCACTTTATTGTTTTCTATGTAATGTTTCATCACCATATCCAATTTATAGTGTATGTGCTGCTAGGGCAAGCACAGATTTTATTATTGTCATAGAAGTGGGGGTAACATGAGTTAAAAAATGTGATTTGCATTAAACACTTACAGTTTAAAAGCATTTTTCTTAATAAATTATTATCAGTTTTGTGCCTGAAATAGAACTTACTCTAATCACTGTTTTTTTTTTCATTTCAAATAAATTGTATGAGGGAAATAATTTAATATTTTAAAATCACTTACATAATCCAGTCAGTAAAGAAATCCAAGCACAGAAAGTCTTAACCCTAAATGAACTGTGCAACTGGTATTTTCTGATTTAACCAGATCATTAACAAACTTCCACGTCATTCAAATAATAACATGATCATGGTCTGACTGTGTCTAACATTTATATTTGTGGCACTTGAATCACAATACTTATTATCTACTCTCATATCTATTAGTTCATTAAATGATACTGTTTTGGTGAATTCCCAATATGTAGGATAAAAGGGAAAATAATGATATGCCTAAATGTAACATTATAAGTAATTAGGTAAGATTTACCATAAATGCAGAATCTCTGGTTTTTATCACTATACTCAGAGTCATTTCATCTTTGCAATCTGTAGTACTCCTTCTGATGAAAATCTGTCTTCAGAAACAATTTATTCCTCATAAGAAAATGGTCTTTCTTTCTGAAAATCACTACCAAACTTACAAGTATAAATTTTTCACATGGAAAAAATTATTTTTTAAATACAACTATACAAAACTGTTCTTATGTTCTCCTAAAAAGAAAAGTTATCTTCCTACTAAGGTAAGTTTTACATATAATAATCCTTTAGCTTTATTCTCCTTAAAGAGTAAATTTCAAAAAAAAAAAAATAGAAAACACTTACTGGTCTCCTTAGCACTCAGGATTACCAAATCATTTCTGCAAATGGGTAAATTTGAATGCATCTGTTAGCAAAATTAAAAGTATCCCTTCAAGTTAGAGCAAATGAAAAAATAGACATTGCGGAGCTTCTAAAAGCTAAGCCTTCTAGAAATATATCAGACACATTTGAAAACAGAATTTAAAAATGGCATCTTGCAGACTTGACAGGGAAAGTACGATTATATCTTCTTTTTTTTTAAGATTTATTTATTTATTCATGAGAGCCAGAGAGAGAGAGAGAGAGAGAGAGAGAGAGAGAGGAGAGAGGCAGAGACACAGGCAGAGGGAGAAGCAGGCTCCATGCAGGGAGCCTGATGAGGGACTCGATCTCAGATCCCAGGATCACACCCTGAGCAGAAGGCAGATGCTCAACCGCTGAACCACACAGGTGTCTCCTATTATGTCCTTTATGTACACCTTGAGTTCCTATGGAATCATAAAAGAATGGGCATTTACAGATAAATCTTACTTTGCCTTCTCCAACATCACATGAGAAGTGGACCACAAGAAGAACTACTATAAAGTGGTCTGCCTAACACGATAGGCAGGGGGCATCAAATTAAAATTTAGCAGTTATAGGATGACACAAAGCCTTAATCTCTGACTGCTTATAGCTAGAAATACTCATTTCTAGAAAACTTCACAGGTACTAAATATCACTCAGTTCACTAGGTTGTATCCATACTAAAATCAAGATCATGGGATGGTTTCTGGTTCTAAGATTAAGTAAGCTTAGCATAAATAAATCTCTTAGCTAATAATTTTTCATAATCAGTGACTTGAGAGAGGATCTGGGACTTTAAAAAATATATTGTTTTGAATTTAACTTTCACTGGAAAAATACAATGAAAACATTAGCTTATAAAAGAAAAACCGACTTCACCAAAATCTTTTAGCTATTTTTCTATGGAATAATGAATTCAACTGATGACAATCTCTTTAATAGAAAACTGCTCTACTCTTTAACCAATCAGAAAGAAAGCCTCCCAAATTGACTTTACCAAGCTGATTTATCTGATTCACATCTTAAAATTATGTTCTACAGTTTATCCCTTTTGGTTGAACTATTCCATTAGGCTTAGAGGAATTTTAATCCTATTTGGAGTCAGCTGTGTCTACAAAATGTCAAACTGGTTGGCAGAAAACTCATCCCCTTTGAAGCTCAGTTGATTGCCAAATAAGTTTTACAAGTATAATTATTTAACACATCTTGAAAATGATATAAGGACATAAAACTGTATCTTGCCAAGAGTACATAGTACCGGGATCCCTGGGTGGCGCAGCGGTTTGGCGCCTGCCTTTGGCCCAGGGCGCGATCCTGGAGACCCGGGATCGAATCCCACATTGGGCTCCCGGTGCATGGGGCCTGCTTCTCCCTCTGCCTGTGTCTCTGCCTCTCTCTCTCTCTCTCTCTGTGTGTGTGACTATCATAAATAAAAAAATAAAAAAAAAGAGTACATAGTACCTTTCATAACTATAACCCTCTTGAAACATTATTTCTAATTAGAGATGTGAAGCAATGTGGTAAACATGGAGAAGGTCTCACAAATAACTTAGTGCTGTAAGAAGTTTGCTGATACCATACACATAACCGCAGTTCGGTACCAAGCTGCATCCCTACCAATGCTATAGTCTGCCTAGAAGAGCTTGCACCCATATTCTTAAAAAAAAAAAAAAAAAAAAAAAAGAGAGAGAGAGAGAGAGAATTAACTAAAATATTGCCATTATATATCATTCCCTACCACAATCAGACTTGGAAACACCGCATCATCAGCTGACATTTCCAGAAAACAAATATTATATGACAAAGGTCTTAAAAGACCTCAAGAAATGAGCTGACTAAAAGAAGCATTAGCCATTTTAAATTTAAGCATGTTACAAAAATTTATCATACTGAACATGGTGATGCATATCCAGCTAAGCTCTTTGTCTATATCATTAACTTCATGAATTCATATATGTTACCAATATGTAATTTATGGGCTTTCCAACTAGACAATACTACATTATTTATTCATTTATTTGAAAAATAATCCCTGAGCAAAACTATGTGGTAGACAATTTCTAGATGCTAAGGATACAGCTGTCCATGGATAAAGTCTTCATGTGCTTACATTTTAGTAAGAACAGGCTGCAACAAAAATATTAATGAAAAATAAGTTCCGATTGTACTAATTGTTGTGAAGGAAATAAATACTTTAAGTCATAACAAGTGAGTGAATGTTTGCTAGGGGCAGGGTTGGGATAGAAAGTGACGTGTAGAGGGAACACTAAAGGGAGATCTCTCTTAGAAGCACCTGCCATGGTAGTAAATTCAGTCAAAGAATGGAATGTCACCAACCCAATTTAAATACAAAATTTAACATCTTCCATTATGTTCCTGGAAATCCATGGTCAAAGATTTCTTAATAATTCTCTACTGCAGAAATTATTTTTTTGACTTGGAGTTTAAGGATATACTTCTGAGCACGGCCAAACCCTGGAAATATGTGCTAAACTTAGTGTATATATGTGGTTATATCTTTCTTTCATGTAGAGGATTTACCTTTCATCACATTCCCAAAAACCATGACTCAAAAAGATCATCACTATGTCAATGCAATCTAATTTAATCCCAAATTTACTACACATCTTTATGATAAGCACTGAATGTCTGTCATCATTCTTGTAACCCAAGAATTTCAGCTTGCTTCAGAGAGGAAAAAATATCAACACCCAAATGTCATTGATATTTTTTTTCTCAGAAGAAAAGATTAAGTTGTTCCCTATAAAAACTTTAAAGGAATTTAATATTTTGTCCAAAGCTAATTATTTTTCTGTGATCCGATCTTTCGGGCACCTTCTTGCAAGATTCAGTGACTCAGAGTCTCTATAAGGCTCTTATAACTATTTGAATTTGGAGAACATTTTCTTATAATTCTAACATGGCCTTTTGGCAGCCCCATTAGAATCCGACAGAAGTTGAGCAGATGTGGTGTGCTTCATCAGATTCAACTACAAACTCCTCTTCTGGAATTAGCAACTGTGACAACACAGAAATAATGACAAAGAAAGGTTTATAACATTGCCTTGGTTTAGAAGTTATTGTAATTGATGTGCATGCAACCTACAGCTACAGACAGAGAAAGATTTTTTAGTAAAGACAAAAACAAAAACCTCCAGTCATGTTTATACAGGTATAAAGTCATGCCGCGTAAAGCCCTGAAGCTGCTTCTGTCAGTGATGTTTTCTTCCTCCCCCACTCAAAGAACTTGAGAAGACATTCATTAGCTTCTACTTTAATGTGAACCAAAAATAATAAAAGGAGTATTTTTATTCTGTCTCCTCCAGTGTCTTTATTAAACTCCATTAGAAACTACTCTTGGAATGTGAGGTACGCATTGAAAAAGAAATAGAACATGTCTTTATGTAAGTAATGAGTTCCTATATATAAATGATACTCCTGCCCTTCAGCTAAAGTTTGGCCCAGCGAAGTGGCCAAAATGCACAATTAATTTGTGCTTCGCTTTTCTTGATATTCTTTCTTAGAAAATGTGCACTGAACAAACATAACCAAAAGAACTCTTTCCCCTTTCCATTGTGTATTTTTCTATTTTTCAAGGCTATTTTATGTAAGTCTTTCCAATAGCCCTATGGAATACGGAGGGCCAACATTATTATCCCTATTCTACAAATAAAACAACAGAACACTTATGTTTCAATATATGTTTCTCCAAAGATATTCCATGGCACTTAACATGTAATATATTCCAAACCAAAGTACTTAGCTTTCCCTCACCTGCCCCCGCCCCATGCCGCTTTTCCTTCTTACCTCAATTAACAAAAATATCATCCCATCCTCAGCCTTGCTTCCTACCATGTTTGGCTCTTTAATTGTACTTTCCCACACATTATGAGATTTCTATGATAAATAAAATGACAAAATTTAAACATGTCTAAAATCTGAATCAATGCCTACTTCAGATATTTGTTCTCAAAAATTACCTTCCAATTTGTATGGTTCACTCAGTGTTTCTTAGCTCTCTTCAATCAACCCTGTCATCTCCATTTCTACATTCAGAATTGGGTGCCCTGTTTGGAAATGCTTCTTTTGAATCCTGACCTCTTATTCCTCTCTTTTATAATCAGTTTTACCTTTTGCTTTGGCCAACAGCCATTTCCATTAGCTATGGCTTTATAAAATGCCCCCTGCCCAAGCAAGATCCTCATTTTGCAAGTCTGAGTAAAA